GGCTGCGGCTCCGGCGAGGGGCAGCGTGGAGCGGGTCGCGGGAAGCGCATGGTGGTGTGGGTGTGGGAGGAGGAGGGAGAAGGAGCGGCATTATTGATCTTTTTTTACATCTCAGTTCAAAAATATGATTGGAGAATCTATGTTACTATAGTGTAGCGGCTGTGACAATCTTTCAAGAAAATTTATTGGAATGAGACACATCTAATTTTCTAGTTTTAGGAAAAGTTTACTGTAATTGGCAGAAATTTGACCATCACTAAGTAGTTAGATTTCTGGCATTAATATTGCATTTGTACTGTGATTGTTCTGCTGATAACATAATTTATATTCTGCTCCATCTCTCCACTACAGGCTGGTGGCAACAAATCAAGATGGCTGATGATGGTCCATGGATATCAAGAACTATCTCAGTTTATATCTATGTTTTTATTAACTGTTATTTTGTTATCCCTAAAAAGTTGCCTCGTGTGGCTTATTAATGTCTAATCAGACCAAAGAACTTTATCTAGTTTCTGTGGTCCTTTTGTTTGATGGCATGTTGCCAGAAGATTTGTGAATCATCGTAACTGTTTCACTGTTTCGATTATTAATCCTCTATTTAACTAGCTCTGATGTGATTGTGTATGTGTGGTGCAACAAAATGGCCATGCATGCATTAAATAGTTCAATGCATTAATCTCTGATATTTTACAGCTAATCTATTGTAGTTGATAAGCTATAGGATAGCTCTTCCTGAGCTGGACAGAAAATTGGAGATGGCAGTGGGCTCTCTATTGACCTTGCACTTAGTGGGAAGGACGCCAAGCTCGAACCGCCGATTTCTGAGCTCGGGAAGCAACGGACCAACGGAGGGCGCTCAAGCGGAGTGGAGGGAGGGAAAAATATCCCTCCCCTTTTCCGAAGAATCAGGGACTAGCTGAGGACGTGAGGTCCTGTTTTGGGAGCAACTGCAACTCCATTTAAATTGTTATCAGATTTTGAGAATTGTAAAATCTAAAAAATAAATTAGATGGTAGAAATTGGAAAACCCAACTTCTCCAGATATTTAAAAACTAGCTATTAGCCAACTAATTCTTAGAATCTTAAGCTTGTCTAAACTGGAACTGAGGAGCAAGTTGATCGGAATGTTTCAAATTTTGTCCCAAATAAATGTGTAGCAGTTTCGTTAGATTTTTACTATGACAAAAGATTTTTTTCAGCCCGAGATCGATCGTTTACAATTCATTTGGATCGAAAATTGACTATTTTGAAGTAAAGAGATTGTGGGGGCTTTTCGATTAATGTAGTTACGTACAAGTTCGGTGAAATTTCTATGTTTGAAAGAAGCTGTGAGGAGACTCAAGTGTTACTAACACGAGAGGTTATCCACATATAGAATAAAAATATAAAGCATTCTTGCTCTCACCTCCACGGCTCCACCTCGTCAAAAATCTTACTAGACACATACTCCCTCCATTCCATAATACAAGACACAACCAACCACTTTTTTTTTATATATATGTTCCATAATATAAGACATACATGCATGCATACAATTAACTATGATATTTTCTCCATTAAATTATTAATTCTTTAAATCCTTCACTCTCACATCCTCTAATTCTATTAGATGCATGCATTGTATTTATTAGAATGATCCAAACTACAAGATGATAATAATTATTTCTTGGTCTTTGGGTTAAGGGTGGTTGTGCCTTATATTTTGGATGGAGGGAGTACTATTCTTACAATTCAATCTAAGATGATTATACGAAATTTCACTTTGCGTATCCAAGAAGAATATATGATCAAATTTCGCTTTTGCATCCCTATGCCCAAGACATAAGGTATACCATGTGCACAAAAATATTTCATATTAACTAGGAGGGCAACCCGCGCAAATGCGCGGGCGCTTTATTTAATGTTGCTTGAAATTTTTATTACGAATGGTTACATGTGGTTGACTTATTCTTGTAATATTCGTTAACTCTATTCTAAATTTATCTTTATCAATAATTTGTTTGGAATTAATTTGTATGTTGATTATTAATTTCTTCTAATTACCCTTGCAACATATAAAATTATGAACTAAAATTACTTAAAACCGTACCGGCTTGAATTTATAAGAAAATATTATGTCAGAACAATTGAGTTAGTTCCTATGAAACTAACATTCGTACTATGTGTATATCTTTTTGGAATATTTAGCATATCTTAGGATGTATTACTTGAAGATATTTTCTATTAAAAAAATATGGTTAATAAGACTATTTCATATAATTAAAAGCAGACTTCTATTTACTTTTACTCCATCCTTTTTATATGCTTTCGTATGTTCTTTGAAAAATGAATTTAAATTGAAATAAGAGCACAATTAAATAAATATAATTGGTAGATGTACAAAATTTATAAATGTTTAAGTGTTGCAGACTCAAGTACACTTTTGTTGGTAATTTATTATTACGAAGTTGTCATATATAGACAGGCAGATCAAGGGGTGGTCCGGTCCAAAAATAACCCTAGCCCAATGCATATAAACATATGTGAAAAGAAACTTTTGGAAAAAGAAAAAAAACTTCATTATTAATATATTATGATGTACATTTGACCAATTTAGAGTTATAACCATGTTAGATTTAAAGTATTTAAAAAATTGTATAATTTGGATCACCCATATCAAAAATCCTAGTTAATTTTTAAGCATATATATATATATATATATATATATGGTGATATAATCCATGTTATTAATTTTTTTCATGATTTTTCATAATTCTCTAATGTCATGTAAAGCACCAAGATAGGCCATATTACTTGTTCGCATAATAAATCTAATTTAGCCGTGAATATTTGTGAACTAATAATGAGTATATAGTAATATACTCCATATTTTACTCTCTCCATCCCAGAATATAAGAAGTTTTAGAGCTGGACACGGTTATTAAGAAAGTAGGTGGAATTAAATAGAGAGATGTTATTGGCTGAGAAGTGGAGGTAGGTGAGAAAACTGAATGGTGGATGGTTGTGATTGGTTTGGAAGTGAATGTTGGGCCGAGTTTAGTTCCAAAATTTTTCTTCAAACTTCCAACTTTTCCAACACATCAAAACTTTCCTATACACAAACTTCCAACTTTTCCGTCACTTTGTTCTAATTTCAACCAAACTTCCAATTTTGGTGTGAACTAAACACACCCTTAGTGAAGAAGTTATATTTCGGGACAAATCATGAGTACTAAAAGTTGTTATATTTTGGGACGGAGGGAGTTGTATTTTTCATAATTTTCATGTCCACTTGGATTGCATAAGTGCAAACTTGGATAACATGCAAAAATGTAGAAGTATGGTACGTAGACAAGTTATTCTTTTATATTGATTTATTCATGGTTGAATTTATTTTTTTTATCTGCTTCGATACTATCAATCTAATTTAGACTTGTAAAATGTTCACAACAATATATAATTTCTACCAATTTAAATGTTTTATTGCTGTTTGGTTGCTATGCAAAGAAAGGGTTCTATGTCCAAACTACGTATTTTCCTATATAGCAAAATATGAGCAATATTAATCTCAAATTATTAGTTTAATTATAAATTTAAAACAATTTTAAAAATAAAAACAGGAGATATTGCTTAAAGTTTCTGTTCATTTAACTATCTAGTTATTCATAGAAGTGTTTGATATAAAATAGGACGATGCAGAAAAAGAAGAGATAGAAAAGGGAACTGTCCATGCGTAGTTTTGTACTTCCTCCGTTTCATAATGTAAGACTTTCTAGCATTGTCCATATTCATTTAGATATTAATGAATTTAGACATATGTATGTTTTTAGATTCATTAACATCTATATGTATGTAGGCAATGCTAGAAAGTCTTACATTATGAAACAGAGGGAGTATGCGTGAGTACGTACAGGAGGGAGATTCGTACGTACGCGGAGGTAGAGGTGGAGTTTGTTGGGATTATTTTATTAATTGATCCAATGGTTGAAAATGATGGGTCCACAAATTTTAAGTGAAATTGAGTGATGGATGTTTTTTTTTTCTTAGATTTTTTCTAATTTAGTAGAGTGCCACGTGGCGACTTAGAAGCGTTTGTAGAAGACCACGTGGCGGCTTGAGAGTGTTTATAGGAAGTTTAATGGATTTTTAGTATATAATAGAATAGATAGATAGATAGATTGCTATCTGAGCACATATAGGGAAGAAAACGGGAAACTGTACGCAAATAGCCTCAATCGCCTGTAATCATTTTTTTAAAAGGAATCGAAAACAGTACCAGAGATATCGAAAAATCTAAAACAGAACTATACGGACGGTAATATGTTGGTATCGATCAGAAGCACCGAACTACAATATCACATATTAAAGTTAGCATAACTTTATAATACGACCAAATAAATTCAATCATACAATAGGTAAATTATAAATTCAATCATACAATAATATCACATATTATTCTCTCTGCCTAAAAGTTGGATTAAATTTATTTTCTCCAACAAAAGTTGGATTAAATTTTGGATACTCGTGGCATGCTTTTCAAACTGCTAAACGGTGCGTTTCGTACGAAAACTTTTTATATGAAAGTTGCTCTAAAATATCAAATTAATCCATTTTTTAAGTTTGTAATAATTAAAGCTCAATTAGTCACACGTTATCACCACCTCGTTTTATGTGAAACACTTAATCTTTATCTTCATCTTCATCTTCAGGAGATTCAAACACCACCTAGTGATTTGGTTAAGGATATGGATCAAATAGAGGCATGAACCTTATATATTGACATATTTAGAAATATGGTAATTGTCACATTATAAAATCGGTAATTAACCCAAGAACATGGTAAAACACAAAAACGATTAATATAACGACAAAATTATTTCTGTTTTCAGATTTTTACCATTTCTATTTTTGTCTTCATCGATTACTATTTTCACGTGACTCGGTCGGTAGAAATTAGAAACAAGCATCAATTGGTCAGGAATTTCTACGACTGGTTTCAACCCTACTCATCCCCACATATGTTAGAAATGGCAATGAAAATCAAACTCCATGTTTAGAAACGGCATGCAGAAAGGTATGCTTTTTGTTACATACATAGATCTGGCAAGTCCTAATGCCACAATTTTTCTCTCTCAAATATATACTAGTATCCCTAAAGTGCAAAGCATGAAGTTAGAACAGATCAGAAGAAATGGACATGGACAGCGGAAGAAATCTCAAATCAAGTCACAAAATCCTACATATCATAAGCAGAACAACTCTACTACCACTCTCCAAATTTACAGCGCACAGTAATTTTTCAAACAATGGACACTCCTATGCATTTCACGCATACGTACATCATCATCAAAACGCCGCCCTCGCTGCGCTGCGTGCAGCCTCGCGCTTCATCTCGGCCTCTTTCCCGCTGCCCCGGAAGTAAAGATACACACGCTGCAGTGCAGGGAGCACAGTGCTCACAAGGTTAGATAAATTTTCCTCTGAAAAACGCTAAGCATTCAGAAATTCAGGCAACAGAAAAGAACCAGCAGCAGACAGGACTTGACCTGAATAACCCACATGCTGAGCAGCGACTCCAGGCAAAACATTGCGAATCCAAGAAAATAAAACACCTGCTCATCGAATAGTATCAGACAATGATTTTGTTGTTTGTTAAAAAAGAAATATGTTCATGGGTCGAAGGAATGTTTCTTTCAGTTTTATGAAGATTTGTGTTCCACTGCATATATGTATGAGTTGTACAGGGAAATTAATGTAAACGATTTTGATTTTGTAGTGTAGAATGTTGTTAGTTAAGTCAGGAGACTTCAGTTTTCACTCACCCCAACGATAACAGTATTGCCTATTAAGCTGATTGCTGGAAAAATTCCTCTGCACAAAGAATGAACAGGATGAAGAAAATTAGACATGATCCTGAAATAATTTCTCAAGAAGGTACTGAAAGGGAGCTAATTAAACATAACCAAAGAACATGTATTGATCTTAATAAATTGTTCCATACTTAAAAAATAAAGTTTATTCCGATCAGAGATGAAGACGTCACTGAATATTTGGAACGATGAAACATGTATTTTTTAGATCAGGAAAACTTTGGAGTGCTGGAAATAGAAATGGAGCCTATTGCAAACTTGCAATAGAGCAAGAATATTTGTAGAAACTTACGTCAATGATTTCCCTACAAATAGAATTGATGGAGAAACAGCCGCATACACACAGAAAGCGATGTGGACCTGTTTGTGTCAACACAAACATGTGAGATTCTTGCCCCAAATCCTCAATAGGAACAAAGAAACAATGTACAAAACTATCAGTAATTCTGTAGTGATAAATGGAACTCACCAAGTAGAACAGGAAAAACCATCCAAATTTCAGAGCACTCTCATTCCTGTGATACGTTTTGCAGAAATAAATTATGAGCCAAGGAGATATTAGTTCGAACTAAACAACAGAAAACCTCACAAAAAATGATCCCAAAAAATGCAAATTATAATGTGTGACAAGTAGTAATATTTCATTTACCTCATGGCACGGTAAAGTGGTCGGTACCACAGATAGTAGGCACCTGGGCATCCAAGAATGAAATAGATGACAGCAAGAAACCAGATCTTGGGACCTGCATTAAGAAACAAGGAGTAAATATAAATAAGTTCTAATTATATACAGTTGAGTGCGTACAACACCTCAAATTGTATAGTGTAGTTTCACAAAATGATATTTCAGAAAAAAAGGGACTTTTATCTGCACACCTTCCCCTTTAATCCAAGCAGCCGTAACACAGATGATGTTCCAAAACAAGCACAGGACCAATCCTACAAAACAGAAAAGAGGAAATGAGCTCTTGTATATTGTGTACGAAATCCTTTTTCAATGAACTCAGGTACATTTTAGTAGTACAGTACGAAACAATAATTTTGGTATGATCTGTTTTCTTTTTCCTGCTGTTGTGATCATAGCAAATTGGAGGATTGACAAATCAAAGAAACACGTACCTAAGAGTGACGCAAATGCGACATACTGTGTTCTTTGCAGGTGGACAGGTATCTCATTGCCAATATCATTATGGATGATGGGGAAAAATGGAGGCCAGTTTTTGTCTTCCAACACAATACCAGCTGCAAAACTAGTAAGATCAGCAGTGCAAATCTACAGGGATGAAGGCAAAGGGCAACAAGAAAGAAAAAAATGATGACAACAAAACAGAAGCTCTACCTCGTGCTGCAGCCTCCTCTCTCCTTTTGATTTCCTATACAGACGTAAGCGACAATCAGCATGTTACACATAATCAAATCCATCTTGGCACAACAACTTTGCCAACATAGTTGGAAAGAATTGAAATTCAAGGAAGTACATGCAGCTAACACTGTTCTGCATCATGTTCAGGTTACCTTCTCTCGCCTGTTTAGCTCGGCTTCCTTTGCAAGAAGTTCCTTCTCCCTTGTTTTCATATCCTATATTATGCATATTTAACACGCAGGTAAATTACTTTTGGGAATCATGTCAAATAACATTTCATCACATCATTCAGAGTAGTGTAGTAACCTTGCTAGTGTCCATTGGAATATCCACCGGGGTCGAGAAGTCATTGTAGAAGTCAGCTGGCTCAGGAGGAAGAGGCGAAAGGTGGGTGGCCGGTGGAGCACTAGGGCGTGATTGCTGCATCAAGATGATTGCGTCAACGTACAGATGATCAACCAGCAAATAAATCGTTTTATAATTTCTGTAAGTAAAATTCTGTGTAGTGCAAACTCACTGTTGTATAGAATGCGCCTCCGGAATAGCTGGATTGACCTGCTGATCCTCCTTTAGAAGCTTTATCCTGATAGATGAGCATTGAGCAAGATAAATCAGTAAGATTATTGCGATTGGTGCCTGAAGAATTATTTGTTTGTAGTCCCTTTTTTTAATTTTGTAAACAGCGTTCCGCCTAATATCAAAGCAGAAATACTGAATTGCAAGAAAAAAAAATTAACTTGCCATTTGCACAAACATATGTTTCTGCTGTGAGAGTTATTAAATATATACAGGGTTTTACATTTCGAAATGCAAAATTGATTTTGGAGGTGATGAAAAACCAAAAATAACTTTCATAAAATTTTTAAATTCTGAAAATATTTTTGCTGAATTTGAGCAAATTTTCACTCAATTCAAAGGAACTCTACATTTTTGGACAGATGCACTTCTCTCCAGTAAAAGTAAAATTTTTAAAAAATGAATTAGAATTACAAACCTTAATATATGAAGTGAGCTCAACATGCAGTTGATTGTATATATGTTAAAAAAAACTCCCATATTATCTAAAAAAATGATAAAACTCCCATGACACAAGAAACAGGGTTCGCAAGCAACTAGCAAGCCACAGTCGAATCCGGAAATAAAGTCCCTAGTTGCAAAATTGCAACACATGAAGAGGACACAGAATCACTTTTAGATCATCCGTAGTTCCTTAAAAATCCCAGACAGGACCTAAATCAAAGGCAGCTCTGCACATACCAGTCAAGGTACAAACAATTTTTTTTTTGTCACTTGTGTTCCTGCTATTTTTTTTTCTCATAAAACCATATTCTCTCTCTCCTTTTTCTTTTTTTGGTTTGTTTTGCCGAGCTGTTTTTATGGGTGCAACTAAATTCGAAGCAGACATGATCACCGAATCAATTTTGCTACAAGTAAAGCATATCTATATATACAAGTAAAGCAACTCGAGGAATCAAGGAGGAACGGAAGATGGGTCTGAATATTTTCTGACGGGGAAACAAAAAAACATGGCGAGCTCGCCGGCGAGCTTACCGCGAAAGGGTTGACCTCGTCGCCGCCGCCCTCCTCGAAGGGGTTGTCGTATCTCGACCTGCCAGCCATGGATCAACCTCCGATCACCGCGCGTCTCCCTTCTCCTCTTCCCTCTCTTCTTCCTCTCTTTTCCCTTTTCTTGGCTTCTCTCTCTGCCTGTGCCGAGGTCAGCAAAGACGAAGAGCAGCAGCAGCAGCCTAGATGGACCTGAACTCTGAATTTATTCAGCTATTCCGCAGAGGAAGCAGTTGGTCGTTGCATCATCGATGGCGATCATCTAGAACCAGTGGAAAAATTTTAGCGGACTCCGCGTGGATTTGGCAGGCTCAGGCTCAGCCCGTCGTGTTTACTTTTTTTGTTGCCGTCAAACACCTCAGCCTTGCAACGACTCAGACTCGGCCTAATGTTTTTCTCTCACTTTGCCGCCCCCTCTACGCCACCCTGACAGCGACCGCGTACGTTTCTACATTACACACTTTACTAGATATTCGCAAAATTTCATCCATGTTGCAAGATTTCGCGAGTTCATAGCTGAAATTTTGCGAGAACGGCCTTCCCCGTATCTGTTCTTTCCATTGGATTGCGACATGATGTCAAGAAAGACAGAAAGTATATATATGCGTGATGCAACAACATACCCCCTCCCTAAAAAAAAACTATCTTACCTATGAACCTGGATATAGTTCGTTGCTAGAAATGTTTTTTTTTTTGGATGGAGTAGTATATGCTTGCCGAAAGATTTTCTCTGTAGCAGCTACTACTAGCTAGCATCTGAACAAGGCACAGATTGGGCTTCTACTTTCTTTTCTAGGAACTGTAGTTTCAGACTATCAGACAAGGAAAGTAAGTTGAGCAAACAAAATATCTATGTGAGTGACAAGTGAAACAATTCTGATCTATAAGTACATCATCAGTTCTTGCACTTCCATCAACCACAAGTCCACAACAATCCAACAAATCCACTTACAACTTCACAACAATTTCAAGCTTGATCTTGTCTATCCTTAGCTGCAGCTTCAGGTTCAGGGTTGCTATGTCGTCAGAACCGTGAGCCGCCTGCTGCAGCATCAGGCCTCATCTCGGCCTCCTTCCCTTTCCCGCGGAAATACCAATATACTTTCTGCAAGTAGAAGCAGAGGTTTTCCCATGATTAAAATTCTGTCTTGAAGGAAGTTATATCACTGGGTTTATATATGTAGGCAAAGTTAATTAATGCGGTTGTGTGCGCTTACCTGCATGACCCATATGCTCAGCAACGTCTCAAGGACGAACATCGCGAAACCCAGGAAGAATAATATCTGAAAGACGGAAATAGTTCATGTAATTATGAAAGCATTGAAAGAGGGAACTAGTGCAACTAACAACATTGTATCCCTTCAGTCGTACAACTAGTATCTGAAGTATAATAAGGACCCAGGTATGAAACACTGCCCCGATCCATAAAAAAAATTAAGCTTATTTTTTTATAAATCTTGTTATGTAAACTGAGGACTAATCTTGTAATAAAAGAGTATTATGTATGGCCTCGTTGGTTGTCCAAAAGCTAACTATAAGTTGTAACGGCTTATTAGCGATATAAAATAATTTATGTGTAAATTGTTTATATATGTGTTCTTAGCGACTTAACAGTTAATGTTGAAAAATAAATTACAATGAAAATATGTTAAAATCAACTTAAGTTTGAAAATTCAAAGTTTCGCATTGGCTTATTCTTTTTAGGGCAACCGACGGGGCTAACAATTTCTATCAAAATAAATATAGCAAGTGAAACTGTATTTGAAAGAACGATTTTATGGTACTAACTTGAGGAGTTGCCAAAAGTTGTTTTCTTTAGATAATTAACGATTTATTAATCTAAGTTAATTACATTAAGGTGATACAACTACTCTCTGAACTCTCCAGGTACCTCATTGTAGCTAACATTTCATATATATATTGAAAAACTTGTTCCAGTCTGAAAACATCATAATATTTTTTCCTTCCATTATGAGAAAAATGTCCATCCACACATGGTACATCAACACTCTTACACTCACACACATCCCGCAAGCACTCACCCGCGATTGTGCTCGTTCAACAAATGGTCAATAGATTTAGGTTAGCATAACTCCATGGACCATATTTAAACTTCCTACCGTAAGACCACATTTATGCGTATAAATTGTGGGTGCTAGTATTAAAGCTTGAGATTTCTTTTAGATATGGCTTGAAGATGTTAGCAATTGCTTAAATTAAATTATTTTTAGATTTTGAAATGTGCAAATTGCACTATTGTTTTCTGTTCCCATTCTCATAATCGAGAAATGCTGTCACAGTATAAACTCACCCCGACTGCACCATTGTAGCCTATCACGTTGATCGCTTGAAAAATTCCCCTGGGAATGATAAATAAAATAAGAGAAGCTCGTCAGTTAAAGTTCCAAAACCGCAAAGGAAGTAGCATAAGCTGAGAAGAAACATTAGCAATTTTATGCAACATAGTTAAATTGGACATGAGGAATAGTCAAAGTAAAGCTTCTTTGTGATACACATACAGATATATTAAATAAACTGAAAATATTTACTTATGAGAAAACGAAGCACTTTCTACAATTCAATCTGTAAATAACTAATTGTCAAGCTGAAATAAGAACTATATAAAAACCAAAAAAAAGGCTGAAAGGACCTTACGTCAATGATCTTCCAACGAAAAAAATTGATGGAGAAATGGCTGCATAGATGCAGAAAGATATATGGAACTGCATAGTCAATAAGAACACATAAGCCATTCTTATTGGAACAAGTAGGCAATAGGATGTAAAATAAATTCAAAATTTCCAGATCTTCCAAGAGACCAAGAAAACTTACAAAGTAGAACAGGAAGAACCACCCATATCTGAAAGCACTTTCTTTCCTAGAGAATATGGGATCGTGTCAAATGATTTTTTTTAGATAATTGATAGAAATCTGGCTTCTATATTAACAAAATAACAAGTGGATATACACAACCAAGTGTCAAGTAGTGATGATCAAGTTTTGACCAGGTACTCTAGTACAATACTATAATGTTTGCTAATATTAATTCAGAGAATCAGTAAGGGCATTATATGTAGTACCTCATGGCACGATAAAGAGGCCGGTACCATGAAAAATAGGCACCTGGGCATCCTGTAATGAAGTATATGGCAGCCAGAAACCAGGCCCTAGGGTCTGCATAGATGAAATAAATTAACATATTTGCTCAAAACTAACAAATTAGGGACATAAGCTTAACATACAAGGCATGAATGCAAATTAAATAAGATGAATTTCTCTGAAACCATACCGCCCCACATAATCGCAATAGCACTGACACATATTATGTTCCAGAAGAGGCATATCACCAACCCTGCATGAGAGGTATGCATAATCTTAGCCCGTAGTTACACTTTCGATAACTTATAGTTCTTGAAAAATAGATATGTTTTAAGAAAATAGTCAATTACTGATTATTTGTACCTAGGAGTGATGCAAAAGCGACATACTGCACTCGCTGCAAGTGCACGGGTATGTCATTTGAGATATCAACATGAATGACGGGGAAGAATGGAGGCCAGTTTTTTGGCTCTATAAAAACTCCAGCTGTGTATTCAAGAGGAACACTGGCACGAAATTAATGGGAAATATCAAATAGAACATATGTATGGTTAATACAAAAAAAATACAATTTACCTCTTGCAAGTGCTTCTTCCCTTCTTTTTAGTTCCTGCAGAAAATTAGTTTAGTATCTGCATACATAACAGGAAAATATAACACCACTGTATATTTTATTTAGCGAAAATATGTAATGTAAAGCATATATGTAATGGAAACTTAAAAAGTACCATAGGATATAAAAATGATTTGAGATTTGTCCACATCACAATAAGTACAACTTCTACTCATGATTGAATATCCAAGTCCAAGAGTAAAATTTTTACTCATGGTGAATCTGAGATTAAAAGTTTTACTCATGGTAATGTAGATGAGTCTCAAACATTTTTTTTTCTTTCATTCTAGAGTGGTCTCTAGATTTTCATTACATTTGTGGTTGCACTATATATTTTCCCATTTATTTTAGCTAGTGCATGCATACCTGTTCTCTCTTGTTTAGCTCAGCCTCTTTAGCCAATAGTTCTCTCTCCTTTTTCTTCAGGCCCTGAAGATTTGCAGACATGGTCAAGGGACATGATCTGGGGTTTAAAAAAGGGAAAAAAAATACTAGGGAAGCTCTAATACTGGGTCCAGTAAGTTGGCTTAAGCTCGAAGAATCGCCATATATGGCAGTAAAATGGTTCGTTTTTTACCCTTCATGAGTATATGGTGGCATTCTTCCCATGAAGATAATAAAGATAAAGTTAGTCTAAGCAAAAAAAAACCATTAGTGCATGATAAATTAAGTTTTAATTATTACAAACTTGAAAAATCAAATTATATGATATTTCAAAGCAACTTATATATAGAAAGTTTTTGCATGAATCACACTGTTAGCAGTGTAAAAATTATGCTAATAAAAAATCGAGATAAAATCTGTACAGAAAGGAACACCACCTATATATGTTAAACAGTGACGAACTAGAAAAAAATATTTACGAGTGCAAGTGAAATAAAACTAACATAATCAACATATGATTTCCATGGTGTCAAAGAGTTAAGTCCGATTAAGTTCACACGATCAATCGAGAAGCAACGTTACGAGATGCACTATTGGGTTTATGTGAATATAGGATGTGCGCGACAATAGGTGGTGGGTGAGCCCCCTCTGCAAAAGGAATAAGTTCACCTTAGATCCCTCAATTCGTCGCCCACTCTGATTTTAGTCCTTCAGCCGAAAAACCAGATATAGCCGATCCGCCAACTCACAAAACCAATGCAAACGAGATCTCTTGGCAGCGTCGTCTTCGGTTTTGGCTGACGTGGCGTCTAGTGGCTTATTTGACTAGGTCTTTGTACGTAGTACTAGCAAATAGTATCTGCTGGTCAGCGAGGATGTACTACTTAAGCAGTCCAGATACCTTTTTACTATCAAGAGGATCCACGGATGCACCAGGGTCATTGTAGAAGGCAACAGGTTCATGAGGGAGTGGAGTTGGACGTGGGTGCTACATGAATACAAATATATATGGTCAGTTCATGACAAGTTGAAAAGAGGTACGCAGACCAAACAATTTGAAATGTATAGAAACAATTTCGGAATCACAATACTACAGTCACATAATTGCTTTGCAACTGACAATAACTATATCAGTTTCTTGTTGCAGGTTTCGATGTTCATGGAAACTTAAGTGACCAAAAGATTGTCCAACAGAAGAAAAACAAGAAGCTGGGAAATTAAACTCAGGAGGGATCGAGATATCAGGCCAAATTAATCTAGTTAGTATAGAGAGATAAAAAACTCATAAAAAAACACAACTGAATTCGAAGCAATTCTGAACAAAATTATATTCGAGCAAGTTTATAGAGCTACAGGAGAAGAAGCGTACCGAGAAGGGGTTGACCTGATCTATCTCGACCTCCTCGAACGGGTTGTCGCTGTGCCCCCACCTCCCTCCGGCCGCCATCGATCGCAACTGTTTAGAATGCCAACTCTCAGAACGTCTCGCTTGGCAATTAAGCTGCTAATATAGGTACGTAGTACTTGTATGCCTAGCTACGGGATGGAAATTTCGTCGCAGATGCTGTAAAAAGCCAGTGTCGTCGTCCTAGTAGCTACGTTGTCATATGGCACACACTCGATCGGACGCACGCCTTGTACGGCACGACGGCTCTGCTAGCGAAATACTAGTATTGTTTCTTTTGTTGTGTTATGCACTTATGCTCCCTCGAGCTAGTCGTGGTCGATGGATACGTTCCTGGGCCAGAGTAGCTAGTAATTGGTGAGTATGGTGAGCCGGCCGGCCGGCCGGGACGGCAAAAACGGTGGCGTTGGAATTTGGTTGGCGCACAAGTGGCTTCAGCAGCGTAAGCCCAAGCAGGAGTAGCCAATTGACAGCTTTTTCCATGCATATGTTAGAGTATATATATATGCAACGGTACGTGGAGAACAAGGCGTTGGCAAAACAAAATTCCCTAATAAATCATGTACACAGTATTTGGTAAATTATTCCGGGCTTTTCCATTCATGTATGTATACTTTAGGTTATAAAAAAAAAAACTCTCGATTCGCTCTCAGCTCACATGCTCAATCTCTCTGAAAATTGTCGGACGATGAATAGTTCACTGAAAACCAACAAGAACAGAGAAAACAGAGAAGTGTTTTGGCGCACCTTTTCGTTTTTCTTCTATTTATTCTCCTCAGCCCGTGAGGTTGTTACATGCATATCAGACTCCGACTTTACTAGATCTAACAACTGAACGCGTCATCCCACGCTGCAGACCCAACTCAGCCACTACAACCGAAAAAGTCTCTAATTGACCGACCTCTGAATATTTCAGTCCGGCCATGCAATGCACAAAGGAATTTGAAGCTAAATGCTGTTACAACATGCAAAAGACTAATTCAAACAACTAAACATGATAGGCGTTAAAGATTATTTGCTACTCTGTCATAGGTTGTTTAGGAATTTTTTTGACTGGGGTTGTTGAAGAATTTAAAAACAGATATACAACATTCTACAGATAAAGCTATAGATCTTATAAATTGTTGCGAAAACGCTAGCTGCCAAGCGTCCAACTCGAGCAAAATCATTGGATGCCATCCACCTCATGCCATTGCCACCTCCCTCATGTTTGTTTTGCTTGGTGTCAACAAATTTTCTAAGGGAAGGCCACAACGTTGAGCTTCCCCGACCTCACGCTCGTGACGACCTCCTCCTGCTGGTTGTTTCTGCAGCCGCCTGGACCAACCATAGTTGGTGGAACCTCTGTCTTGACGTGGCTTCGTGAGCTTGTTGTCAATGAGCACTTGATCCCGCGTCAACCGCCTCCACATCAAATTTGCACCAAAAACTCAGATCCAACCAAAGGAGTAGAGGAAAAAGGTGGATCTAGCCATTGAAGTAGATGAAAAAGGAGGATCCGACAACAAGAGTAGAGAGCAATGACAGTTCCAACTACTGGAGTAGAGAACGATGGCGGATCCATCCATTAGTAGAGGAAGAAGGCGGATACGGTCACCAGAGCACAGGAAGAAGACAACGGTAGGATGTTGCATTATGTTGTTTATCTTTACTTTGTTATGTTCGAGTGTTTCATCCTCTTTTTGTTGGATGCTAGGTACAATGCGGAATGTATTTTCTTCAATGTTGCACAATAGGGCCTTGATGTTTCAATCAATTTTTTTTCGATGATTGCATCTGTTTGATTTTTTTTGCCAAGCGTTGACACATTTTTCATCGAGCGATGAAACATCTAAAACAAATTTTGTTGAAACATTTTTCACAGATGATGAAACATTAATTAGATACATTTCTCTATTCGTGGTGAAATACCATTTGATAATTTGTAAATATCAAACGTCCTGGCCTAGTTGTGTCCAAATTGCTGACCTTGGTTCATGCACTGGCGAGTTTGTCCTCCATCTTTTGTAGATTCGATAAACTTTAGCAATGGCAGCAACAGCCTTCAACCAATTAGATTTTGGGGGTTACTGTGGGGGTAGGGAGGGGAGAAGAGGGGGGAGTTTCTTTTTTTAGAGGTGGGTCAGGGTGGAGAAAGGCCCAATGGTGGGTGGCAGCAATGGGGAGGAGGCGACAAAGTGATAGTACTGTTGAAGCTACTTGGTGGGGAGGAGGTGGTGGGTAGTAGAGGCGATGGGGTATCGAGAAGATAGTGGCTAGGTGGCATTGGGTTATGATGGTGGATCTGATGGCCGGAGTCACCGTAAACGGAGGAGGCTTTGCTTCTCTCCCATGGAGGAGGGAGTCCTTGCCATGTTCGTTGGGACAATATTTTGTCGTAATAAAGTATATGTGCACCGTAAAGCACTTATACGAGCATATTTTAATTATGTCAGTTGTAGGAGGCTGCATACCAAATATAGTGCACCTATGGTCGGTCACCTGAAATCCGCATAATGCAAAGGGTGGCAGAAAAATCGTGTCCGGCTCTTTAGGAAAATAAATATTGCTAGAAAAGATTCCTCTTATAGCAAGAGATCCTATAGTTTTGCTACGCTTCTTCTTTCACCTATTTCATATGGTAGTACAGGTCGAACTGAAAAAAGTTATTTTCCTTGCACATAAGATCTTTCTTGGGTTGAACATAGACTTTTTTTTAATTTACTCACTCATCCATTTTCTCATAGCTTATAAAAGAGAGGAATTTCACTGTTTAAGCATACATGAGTACAGTTATACAAAAAGTCCCAAAATATATAAAAGAGAGGAATTTCATTGTTTAAGCATTTAGCTAGTAATAAGATACCACAAGTACATGAAGCAAACAACAAGAATAGTTTATGGGGATCTAAAAGAGGAAAAATGGATATTAGGACTGAAAATGGAAATGGGATTCTGGGATAAAAAAAGGAATGAGATATTTGGGTTGTAAATAAAGGAGTGAAAGAGACCCTCCAAACTTGATAGTTGACCATGGTTTCTCTAGAAAACATCATTTTAGAAGAAGCCCACCCTTAACATGCTGGAAAGGCATGCAAATGGCAATGAGCCCCTCCTTACTTGGGAGGGAATGAAATACCCTGGTTGGCCAATGAGGATCCTGCGCCAATGTTGAAAGGTTGCACCATGTCACCACTGGGTCCAGCAGTGTTGCTTCTGCCGCTACCTCTGAACAAACTATAGCCCAATGAGCCAATGCCCCTTACAACACCCATGAGCCATCCCCCCCTCTGGATTGGTGCCTCTTGCGCAACAGTGTAGCCCGCCGTGGTGTAAGGCAGTACCCCCATGGTTGGCAGTGAAATAGACGCTGGTAGGAGGCCCTGCTCGTGGAGCTTCTGGAGTTGATCATTGACGATGTTGAGGCGTGCATCTACAAGCCAGCCAAGGCTGGTAAGTTGCTCAATGGTGATCCCCTCAAGGCCTGGGCGGCGGCCTTCGAGAGCTTCAATGAGGAGTAGCTTGGTCTCACTTTCATCGGCATCACGCCTCACCTTGTCTAACTGCTCTTGGAACTTGTTGATGCGCTCCTGGATGAAGCCCTCCAGGTCGGTCATCTTCTTATATTTGTCCAGCTGTGGCAAGGTCTTGAAGCGCTCGAGAACTCTCATCACCTCCGACTCCGACGGCCAAACCACCGTTGCTTGCGCCTCACCCTCACCATACACCATGAGGCATGTGTCCACATTGCATAGTGTTGCCAGCTCGCTTGCCTTCTTCATCAAGCCCTTGAGCCGCTTCTTGAATGTTGCCCGCCGCTTCGCATCATTGATGATCCGCTGCAGCTTCACCTTGTTGCGAGCCATGGCCTTCACGATTCACCACTTTCTTGCAAGAATGCACCTGTAGATTGATGAGAAATGGTTAGATTGATATGAGATCAAAGAAAGAGGAATATGGTGCTTTTATAGTGGAAGATCAGATCGCAACAATCAGCAAGTTGTGGAAAGAAATTATTTACAGATCCAAGAATATCAAATGAATCAATGCGAGTTAATGTTTTCCTGATAAAAATGCCTGGTTAATATGCAGCTGGCTAGCATACTTGTCGACCTTTAATCGTGTCTGTCTTTGGAAACTTCATTGCAAGGATGAGCTAGCAACAGCCAATAGGCATTACTCGCTAGATGATAACGTGTTCACACCAAAGATGTTAATCTAATAAGGTGCTTAATATGGGTCCAGTTCAACAGATATTTATAAGCTCATCCTATTTCATACACATAATAGGATTGAAGTATAATAGTCAAGATTTTTAAAATTTGCTTAGAATTAAGTACATGGTGTGTTGGAGGTAGGCCATGAGGCCCTTCAGCCGACACGCCGAAGCAGATGGTAACGAAGAACGGTGGAGCACGACAAAGCATAGTGAAACACTATGGAGTTGGGAAAACCCGCGGAGTCCAAGGCCGACAACCTAATAGTGGACACCTGTGGAGAGGACAATAAAAGCTACCTAAAAAGACCCCTGAGAAAGGGCCAGCCCAATAGTTGACCCGTATCCGCTCAGTAGGTTGAGAAGGTGGGCTAAAGACAAGAATATCCCTATAAACATCCATATCAATGGGACAGGAATGTAAAAGCCTATCTAAGCCAAACCCCAGGGTTTGTTGTTAGGCTTGTAAATCTATAAATAGCCCGTAAGAGGAATTTTTCTTTGATAAATAGGAAACTTAAGATTAAGATGCTCTAAAATGGAAACGAGAGAATGAATTCGAGGGATTTTGTAGTTCATTAATCAAGGCTTGGCAGAAGAGCTTGAGAAGTTTCCAACAATTAAAGATCCAGATCACGGAATGGATACGAAATCTAGTGGCGGCAAGTAAGATAGGGAAACAGAAACTATTGTTTTTGGTGAATTATTAGTGTGCAGATGAATTTCATCCACTACTATTGAAGAAGCTTTTAACTGTAAGACGAATTCCAAAAAAAATGATACATACCTCATTGTTTTCGTACTTTCCATTAGGACAAGTGTTCGTCTTTGGACAACAGCTAGCGCCGTCCGTCGGGAACCGAGCAAAAGTCAATGCCACCCAAGAGAAGGTTGACTAGGAGGAAAACGGTTCCACAGAGCATCGCAGGAACTACCGAAGGTGACGCCGAAGATGGTGCCAAAGCTGAAGTCCAAGGGGTTCCCGTCGAAGCTCAGCCTGAGAGTCTTTAGGCTCAGGCATGTAGGCTTCAGGGGGCGACGAAGTTGAGGACCAGTGAGTGATGCCTAGCACGGTTTAAACAACATCGGTCCCAAGGCTGGAGTATGAGGCAGTGAAGCAAAAACATGGCTAGGCTGTAGGAAATTCTTCGCCAGATGCAGCAACAACACACAACAACAACAACAACAACAACAAGAAGCGGCCATGCAGGCAAGAGTTGGTGTTGTGACGTGCGTGGCCGTGCTGAATGTGTTCTATCCACCCTCCGGCCCCACCGCACGCCTAAGATTGTTCCAAGTCTCGGTGGCCCCGACCCTTCTAGGAGGTTTGGGTGCTACTTCAGTAACACAAGCTTCGACATCGCACTGACGATTGGACGTCGGGTCGACACTCCATGCACAATTCCAAGTCTTCCTCCAGCAAATGAATGTTAGTCTTCCATAGAATACTCAAGTACCACCACAAGCAGCAACACCTATGTTTATGCCAATTGTTGGAGGAGCAACTCAATGGCTGGTGGCATGGCAATTGACGGTCATTAAGTATAAACTTTAACCATCAATTCCTGCATAAAAGATATCAAATGTACTAGCAAAACTTAGTGGTAGGAGTTTACTACTAACAACTTCCACTAGTTTTGGTAAATATATGTATGCATGTTATTTAAGGAGAAAATACACCAGACATACAAGGATTGGAGGGCCCACAAGTCATTCATAACCGACTTAAAGTTTGACCAAACCATCCTCAACTGCAATAGGGGCCCACCTATCAGAGACTTTAGAAAGGTGGTGGCTAGGGGAGGCTTGCTGTCATGCCCAGAAATTTAGCCCAAATTTCTAGACTATTTTGTGTATTAAATCCTTGTCCAGGACCAGCCAGGGTACACAAAACAACAAGTAATATACAGTTCCAACGTAAATAAAAGCGTAAAATACTTACAGAAGAGGCGCTTAGTCCTCACACCGAAAGAGAACGACAGCAGCGGAAAAAGGCGATCCTAGCGGGGCTTCAGCTCCACTCCACAGGCAAAACTCAACTGGGGTCTGAGCCTTGGCCTTCTAACTTCGTCTTCAGCTCAGAAGCACTACACTTCTGAAAAAGGGAAATAATAGCAAGGCAGAGTACAACCACCGTACTCAGCAAGCCACACCAATGATGCAGACGTGCAAGGGGATACAAGGACGGTTTGTGGCTATTTGCATAAAGGCGGTTGTAAAATATTTTATTGAGCAAAACAGTAAAAGTGTTGAGTAATTAAAGTAACATTAAATCTCCACTGATCAACGCTACACCACGTTGAACAGGCCCAACCAACCCACATGAACTACAGTGCATTGAGTCGATTTATTAAGGTGGGACTAATCACGGTGAATCTGGTCGACCGCCCATAACCGTGGGCACGGCTATTCAAATAGTTTTACTCTGGCCAGAGGTGTACAACTGTACCCACAAGACACAGCCCCACGACACGTTTCCGTGTGCCGACATGCCACCATGACATATCGGAAAGAGGCCGTGACAGGACCCTTCGCATAACCCCCTCTAACCAAGCACACCACACCTCAGGTTTCACCCCCACTCCTCGCAAGGCAGCGGGCAATCCCCTCTCGTACCTAGGTGAATCCGGAAGCCGCATAGGCCGTCGCAGGGCCCATCCAAACTCCATCACGCCCACCCTTGCTTGGATGCGTCAGCTAGAGGAAAGCTACACTACAAGCCCAGCCGTTGCCCACGCTGGCTTGTGGAAAGTACGAGGAAATCTTCCAGGGTTTCCCGCGAACCGGTCCTTAACTGCCATGGGTGCGACTAGCAAAACCATGCACCCACAGCCCACAATTCAGTCGCATTTTAGTTGGATAATTACGACCACTGAAACATGGCCGGGTGTCTCGAGCACGCAGCTCGTTCTGATGCTAAAAAGGTCTAATACTGCAATTATCCCATCAACTGAGCTAGTGGTAATTAAGCATGGCTAAGCATATAGTTCTAGCTAGGTCATCAAAGTAACACAAGCTAGTCGATTTATCACCCAAGGTTGACAAAGGACATATATCAAATAAACATGGCACACACGAGCAGATAGGTAAACCCTATTCCCATGTAATTAGCGAAACGATGCATATTTATTTGCAAACAATAAAACATTTATAAATTGGGATCAACATGCTCAAGGGGAATGTGTGACTTGCCTTGCTTCTTCAAACAATCTTCTGAACTCTTTTCCTCGCAACCGCGGACTTCCGAAACGACAGATTCTACACGCTGGCATGCAAAATGAGGAAAAACTCTAATAAACACCAAGCAAACATTACATAAAAAGTAAACAAACAAGTAGAGATCAATTTTAGATGAATTTTGCAAGTTGAACGGCTCAATTCAGAGTTCGAATGAATTAGTTATGAATTTTCGAAGTTTTGAGCCATTTAAATGAATTTCTAGAATTAAATACGATTTATGACGCAATTGTTAATTATTCTTTCAAAGGAAAAAGGCCGTCGCTGACGTCATCAAAGAGGTCGGCGCCGACAGGAGGGCCCCATGAGTCAGCGGCGCAAGAGGAGCGGCCCACGGTGGACTCGGTCCACCGTGGCACAGGCGCGGGCGCACCACGTGGACGGCCATGTGGCGGCCACGGTGGACAGGCGGCAAAGGTGGTGTCGACGTGGCGCCACGAGGGCACCGATGCGGGGCGGCGCCGAACGGCCATGTGGACGACCCAGATTCACCCGGGGTGAATCAGGCGGCCACAGGCAGGCGGGAGCCGGCTCGCCGACCGGCCGGCCGGGAAGCGGCGGCGTGCGGCCCGATGGTCACCGGCGGCTTCCACCGGCACGGCGGCATGTGCGAGAGAGCGGCGGGAAAGGGGAGGGGGAGTAGCACACGGCGGAAGGAGGTGGCCGTCGGCGAGATGGCAACGGGAGGCGGCGACGGCGGAGCTCGGGGCGGACGAAGACGACGATGCTCCGGTGACGGGCGGCGCTCGGGAAGAGGCGGACGAGCAGCAGCTGCATCCTAGGATGGGAGGGGAGGTGTTAGGGAGGACGGGGCGGCGACATGGCCTGCCGGAGCGGAAAGGAAGGGAGGAAGGGCTCACCGGCACACGGGAAAACGGACGTCCAGTGAGTTTCCGGCGATGGGAAGAGGTGGCCGAGGTTCTCCTCGTCCTTGTGGAGCAGAGGGAGGTGACGGCGTGGGTCGGCATGGACCGAAGCGGCGTTGCGACGCGGCTGGAGGTGGCAATGGCGACGGAGAGAGGTGGTGCACGTGGCGGCGGCGTTCCGGAGGTGGAATGGGAAAATGGAGTAGGGGTCAGGGTGGAGATCGACACGGCGATGCCGATGGTGGTGTCGACGCGGCTTGGTGGTGGCTAGTGCGGCGGGAGACGGCGGCTGGAGCACGCCGGTGAGTGGTGGGGAGAGGGAGCGCCGTGGGGAGGTGGTTTCGGTGACACAATGGGGAAGCGGAGGGGATGCTGGGGTATGGCACGACGCGGCGAAGCCGCTGGTGGCGGTCGCGCGGAGCGGCGGCGGCAGGAGCAGCGGTGGCGGCAGGCTGGAGGATCGCCGGCGAGCGGCGGCGAGAGGTGCGACGGTGGCGTTGTGGTTTTCGTGCATGGGAGGGCTCGGGAGAGAGGGGAAAATGGAGAGGGAGGTGCGGGGAATGTTTTTATAGGGGAGGGTAGGTCGGACCGAG